CATTTTTCAGGCTGCAATTGAATCAATTGTTAGAAGCAATACACACTTCGTGGATGGTGAGATGTAACATGTTCACGCAAGGCTATATTTTGACAGAATCCTAGGAAAATTTGATTTTCTGTATTTTTCCAAATTTGAATCACTCCTTTCTTTTCAAATGACCTTGGAGACATCACCAAAGGACTACGCAGAAAATAGAAAGATATCAATCAACATTTTGTGATTCTTCAAAACAAAGATGCTAGTGAAATTTGTATTGATTGGTTGTTTTTAAGCCTGAGTGCACCATTTTTACCATAGGCAGGTATTGAATACTAAGTATGTGGAAGGTTATGCTGTATCCAAAGGTGATCCTGATCACAAACTGGTTTGGAGTTTTCTGGGAAGGATATATGCATATCAATAACTCAAATAGAAAGTATGATATAATATCATAAATATAGGCCAGGAACATCACTTGAACTGAGAAGTTCAAGACCAGTCTAAGCAAGCATGACCCATCCCTACTAAGAACAGAAAAATTAGGTTGGTGTGTGGTAGGCATCTGCAGTCCCAATTACTTGGGAAGCTGAGACAGGAAAATTGATCAAAACCAGTGTGGAGGAGAAGCATGAAAGAGCAATTCCCAAGTCTGTTCACGTAAAAGTTCCTTGTCCCTTTTGATGCAGGTTGGGGAGAGTGCGTGTTATGATGTACAACTGGAGGGAGCTTATATTGCCATGGGTGAAAGGAAAGTGCTACTGGCATCTAGCAGGGAAAGGCCATGAACGCAGAAATACTACAGTGCACAGGACAGCTTCATACAACAAATAATTTTCTATCCCGAAATGTCAGTGGTGCTGAGATTAAGAAACCCTAGTGTAGATAATGAGAATCCATTGAGAATCCACTGTAAATATGAAAATGAGTGGCATTTTAGCCTGAGCAACAGAGTGAGATTCTTTTTAGAAAAATATTAAAAATAAGTAAAAGCAGCCCAAGTGCCCATCAACCTGTGAATGGATTAATAAATTGTGGTATATGTATACAATGGAATATCATGCAGCCTTAAAAAGAGATGGAGACTTTACCTCTTTTACGCTTACATGGATGGAGCTGGAACATATCCTACTTAGTCAAGTATCTCAAGAATGGAAGAAAAAATATCTAATGTACTCAGCACTATTATGAAACCAATTTACAATCACTCACACTTTCATATGAAGGATGGATCACAACTATGGCCCCAGATGAAGGAGGGAGGAGGGGGAATCAGAGTGGAGGGAGGGAGGTCATTTCAAGGGAGGATGAATGGTGGGATCACATCTATGGTGCATAATGCAAGGGTACATGTCAGATCTATTAGTATAGAATATAAATGCCTTAACACAATAATTAAGTAAACGAGATGAGGTATATATTAACCAGTGTGATATAAGCGTTCCTAATTCTATATGAAGTCAGCACATTGTACCCCATAAATGCATTAATGTATACATGATCTATGTGTTTACAATTTAATCAAAAAATCTTAAAAATGAATAAATAAGTATAAATAAGAACTTAACAGTTGAAATTTCTTAGTAAGTGCTCAGGAAATTGCAGGTATATCATTGATAACAATTAATGAAACCCCACATGGGATGCCCAGATGAATTCCTACTGTAGAGAGTGAATGGGTTTCTTCTGCTAACATTTCTACCAATACTGTTTAGAGAGAAGAGTGAAGAAAGCATTAAAAAAAAAACTACGGTTTATTTTGACATACTTACAGAGTATCATCTTACTTAGAGCCATCATTCTTTATTCTCCTCATATTATACTTCTGACTATTTGGTAGCCAAGGAAACTGAGGACAAGAGAGGTTAAGTGAGTTTTCCACTTAAGAGAGGAGAGAGGTTAAGTGAGTTTTCCACTTAAGAGAGGAGAGAGGTTAAGTGAGTTTTCCACTTAAGAGACAAGAGAGGTTAAGTAAGAAATTTATGGATGTGGGTTTTAAACTTAAATACATTTTCTTGCCATGATAATACACTTTTCCTCTATAGGACATTCCTTTTTATTCTACTGAGGAACTAGTACTTGGGCTGTACCCAACCTACAGAAGAACAAAATTAAACCACAGAAAATGTCAAGTAGAGATTTATAGGCAAAATATTGAGATGCAAAAGCATCTGGAGAGACATGAGGATGAAACACACGTTAAAGCTATGAAGTGGATAATTTTTGGAAAGCAGGTTGGGGAGTGCGCTTGTGATGATGTACAACTGGAGGGAGCTTATATTACCATGGGTGAAAGGAAAGTGCTACTGGCATCTAGCAGGGAGAGGCCATGAACGCAGAAATTCTACAGTGCACAGGACAGCCTCACACAACAAGTAATTTTCTGTCCCGACATGTCAGTGGTGCTGAGATTAAGAAACCCTAGTGTAGATAATGAGAATCCATTGAAATATGAAAATGAGTGGCGTGATCCCTCATGGGGAAGATCACTCTCCACCAGAAATTAGGGGAAATTGGGGTTAGAATATGAAACAAGACAGTTAATAGGCGGCTGTAATAGATCTACACAGGAGATAAAGGGCAGAGATCATGAGGTAGGAAGAGACAGAAGCAGAAATACTGCAGAGGGAGAAGTGAAATGGTGATGATCAGCTGATTCCTTCTTGTCTCGTTGAAGGCTTTATCTCACATCCAAAGATTAATTTCTGGTTTTTAGCCTGAGTAAATAGACAGATGATAGAACCATGAATTAAGAGAAGGCCCCAGGAAAGAAGCAGCATTACTGTGGGCTTGTCATTTTTTTTTTTTTATTGGAAGAGTTAGCTAATGAGGGTTTTAAACAGATTAAGTCAGTAAAGTCAGTGACAAATCAGTGTCTGTGACATAGATATTATCTAGGCTAAGACTGGGAATATAGGTCTTTATTCTGAGGGTGTGGTCACCCGTACATGGAGATTTGGCAGCCATTCAGGTGTTCTCAAACTATGGCCCAAGGGCCACACGCAGCCCACCAAGGACATTTATCAGCCCACAGGGTGTTTTTGCCATCGCTGCCTGTCCTGCTTAGCAGCCTACTCATCCCAGGGCCCGCAGTCCAGCCCTCCAAAGGGACAGTGAACTGGCCCCCTGTTTGAAAAGGTTGAGCACCCCTGAAGTGTTCTGAGCAGGGGTAAGATGGGTAATTGCTTGTTAGAGTTAAGAAAAATGTCAAGGAAGAAAGGTGAGGACAAGATTTCATCTCTCTTTTTTTCAGGAACTCTTATAAAAGAAGTATCTGAGGAATCTAAAAAGAAACTCAATAAATAATTTCTAATTGAAATGATCGATGAGTGGACAAAAGAAATAAAAAATGAGCAAAAAGGGCGAATGCAAATCCAGAATGTCCTGTCAAGAATACAGGGACAGTCATTCCTTGATGCTGTGAAGAAGGGAGCGTCCAGCAGAGAGACTGAGAGAAGAGATGCAGTTATAAAGGTTATAAGCCCTGGAATGCTTAGTCCAAGTACAGGGGTTGCAGTCAGATGTCCCTGATCTGAGATAAAAATGTTCAGGTGAGGAGAGAGAAGTTTAGAGAGAAAAGGAAGGAAAAGGTTGAGAAAGGTTCATTCTAAAGAAAGTACCATTTTCTTAAACAGAGCACATCTCTCTTTCCCCGACCCTCCCACAGTTAGGTAGTCATATATTCTGAGTGAAAAAGGATAAACACTGCTAAGATTTATAACTGACACAATATAAAGCAAAGAAAAATAAAACTCTCCTGCAGTTGGGATTGTGTGCCCAACGCGTCATATGAAGCCAGATTTTGGATGATGTGAAGACCAGGCTAGGAAGGGCGAAGCTCAAAAGCTGGGGAAAAAAATACAGATTTTCTTGGCAAGTCACAGAGTGGTTTGTGAATCGAGGTGGGTTCAAAGAATTGCATTTTTCAAAAACGTACAAGGTGATTCTAAAAAGTATATTTTGGAAAAGTGTTACCGAAAGTTCAGGGCCTGTCTGTCGGTCTAAATCAGTGAGGTTGAAGAACAAGGATAAGTGATTTGAGGAAAAGAAAGAGAAGTTGATTAATTGGCTGGCCAGTCAGGAGGTCAGTGGATTAGCATCTACAGACTTCCGCTCTGCCTTTAAACAGAAAAACAGGGCTTCTTGAAAGATGTGTTTGTGTGTATGTGTGTGGCGGGGCGGTGTTGGCAGTTAGACTTGTGTCTGTGTGACCAGTGTCACATGTCCTGACTTTGGGCTATTGTTGTCTAACTATACTTGCTGACAATCTTGTGACCCTTCCTTAGACAGTTCTGTCAAGCCATCTCCTGCGATTTAAGATACTAGAAAACAAACAGCAAAGAACATTTTTCTGCTCCTTTGATTAAAGGCATGAGGAAGGGATATAGGTTTTAATTCCTAAAAGGGGTTGAGGGGTTAGAGAGACAACTCAAAACATTTTGTTCCTCTTTTTCCAATCTTCAGCTCTGTTATAAATGATGGATTCCAGCCTATTCTTGTTATTTTGTAGATCAGACCAAGCTAAATGACTCATCTGAGGTCACAGGGTCTCAAGGAAGTGCCAGAGCTAGAATTAAACGGCCGCACCTGCATGACACCAAGGCTCCTTCAGCACACATTGTGACTTTGCCCCGCAGTGGACGTGCTGAGGATCCGATCTGTTTCTGATCTACTGGTGTATGTCAGAACATTTAGCACATTGCCTTCTCAGCTAGTTAAGCCAATCTTTAAATATACTTTCAGACGTGTCCCTTAAATACACCATGTATTAGAATTACGAGTTAAGAATATTCATGAGGACTCCGGGATCTCCCTACCATCCTCAAAGCCATTTTCTTGTTTGTTAAAAAATGTGTCTTTTTCTCTTGCGGGTAAAAAAGGTTTCTCTCGGAGAACTGGATGTCAAGTGGAGAAAGGATGTGTCTAACCTCTCGACCTTTGGCTACTGACTGTTAACCTCAGAGATAATATTTATCTTCAAGGTCAAATTGTTCAACCTTGCTATCTATTTCTTCCTCTAGGAGAATACGTTGTTATGACCACTCATTTTCACTTGAAGAGAAAGATTGGCTACTTTGTTATTCAAACCTATCTCCCGTGTATAATGACGGTTATTCTCTCTCAAGTCTCCTTCTGGCTCAACAGAGAGTCTGTACCAGCAAGAACTGTGTTTGGTAAGTGCCAGTCAAGATAAGTTTGCAAGGGTATAGAGGGCAAGATGTATCTTGTCTGTGACATGAAAAATGAAAAAAAATTCATTATGCATTCAAATCCAAAGTGAGTACAATGGACAGGTTCAAGGGATCGTCGTTCTCATTAGACTCATGCCTTAAACAGAATGCTAATTTAGTGCATGTAAGTAGATGGAACTGATGAGCATTTGACTTGATATTTGGGAGTAGAAATGGAATAAAGAGGGAATCGAATGCACAAAACTGTGTTAAAAACACATACACAAAATCTTAATATCTACATCATACGTTTAGGATATATAATATCAGTGTATTTTTTAGAAATCTTAGAAAATAGCAGCAAAACTACAGCCTTATGTATGGACAGCTATTTAATAACTGTCATATCCAGTATGGAATACCTCACATTACCTATTTGTGTATTCATAAGGAATTGCAAACATATGTATTTTCTATCAAAAAATATATTTAAATGACCTAAATGCTTCGAGTGACGGCAATCTAGTGGGAGATTGTTTCAAGGATGAATAACCTTTTCCTAATGGGAAAACTTCCCTTCTAATGCGTTATTTCAGCCTTTGTGATTTATATAAAGAGGTATTTCCTGCCTGTATCCCAGTATACTATCACAATTATACTTCACAGGCTTAAACAAATTTCTTGATTCATTCATTCCACTACAATAAGTTTATTGATTTATTCATTCCATATATTTTTATTTAAAACCTACTATGAGGTACTTCTATGCTCTAGGCACAGAATATAGTAGTTTCCTGAACATAAACCGCTCCCCTCATTGTACTTACAGTCTGGCTGTTAACGTCTTGGATAATCATAAAATTATAGATAACATTTATTGAGGGCTTTCATACCAGACTCTGTTCCATGCAATTAGCCTATATTATCTTATTTAATCCCCAAATTCCTCCATACTATGGTTACCCTCATCCTATAAAAGTGAAAGCTAAGGAACATGAAATTAAATAATCTGCCCCAGGTCAGAAGCTGTTAAGTGAAGGATTCAGGAGAGGGACCCAAGCGCTTAGGTCTGGAGTCTGTGCTCTTAGTGTGATGCCGTATCGTCACCTCTGTGCCCTCTCACTGCAATGACAAGATGTGGAACGAGGATGTTGTGGTTAGCTTCATGTACGTGGAAATAACAACCACGTATTTATTGGTGAAAGGTGCAATTATCGAGGCTCATTCCACAAATGCAATCTCAGAAAAAGGGCAAAACTCTGCTACAAGTTCCCAGAAAAGTATCTTTTCTTCTGAACTTGGCAAGTTGGTTCCAGATTGGAAACCACCAAATCTTTGTTCTTATAATAGTCTCAGCTATTTAGCTAACAGCTAAATGAAGAGCCTGAATAATTCTAGCTTCAGGGAAAACAAGCAGTCCACGTCAAACTCAGTTTTCCCTGTGACCACACTAGTGTTGAAGCCACCAGAGACTGAATCTTGTTAAGATGCTTATACAGGGCGGTGCCTGTGGCTCAAAAAAGAGGGTGCTGGCCCCATATGCTGGAGGTGGCGGGTTTAAACCCAGCCCTGGCCAAAAATTGCAACAAAAAGAAAAAAGAAAGAGAGATGTTTATACAAATAGCTTCTGTATACTCCGTTTGAGCCCTCTATTCGCTAAGAAATTAAAAATACCTATGTGTTTTGTTTTATTTTATTTTATTTTATAGAATGATCCCAGAAGTATAGTGAACTTTTTTTTTAATAATAATCCTCCCCCACCCCAACAAATCCTACCCTTCGTATTTGGAAATTTCTAAAGAGTTTCAGGATGTTTTATAAGTAAAAAACATTGCTATTTTAATAACATTTCCAATGACCTTATGCCTGAACTGACTTCTGCCCTTTTAGTGAATATAACTGCGTATCTGTAACCTCCGCTATGGCAAGTATTTGTGTTTCAAGTTGTACATTTGTAATGTTTTCAATTCAATAGAATCACAAATACAATTTTCCAGACCTTTAGCCTTTTAACATTTATTTAGTACACATGTTTCTATTCGTTTTAGTCTGAACTCAGCACATTTTTCTGAGCTCTGTGATATGCCTGAGAGGGACACAGATATGTAAAAAAAAAATACTGATAGGAAAACAAACAGACCAATGTAAAGGCATTTGCCATGTAACTAAGTTGAAGTCTATTTTATGCCTCCAAAGATCATTCTCTTGGTTTCCCGTGCTATTTGTAGGCAGTGTGCTCCTGTGACTATTGCTACCAAATACATCAACCTTTTAGAGTCAGTCTCACCACCTCCCCCCTAAACTGGACGACATTGGCCAATTGATTTCACCTTTATGGGCTTCAGTTGCCTATAAAATAAGACTGCAAGAAAACTGAAATAATGCTGTTTAAACAATAAAATGAGACCAATAAAATAAAATACGGTAGAACCTCTGTAAGTTGACCACTGAAGGGACTATAATAAAACTGGTCAACATAAGGAACGTCCATTAAGTACACGTGCATGTCCAGTCTATGAAAATTAGGGCAACTGAAGGTGGTGGCTTAAGTAGGGAGGTGGTCAACTATGGAAATTCTGCTGTATGTAATTGTCTGGCTTTGTACTTAGAATTTAATAGCCAATCACCCAGGACTTGTTCCTTTCCCTTTCCCTATAGCAAGACCCACAGACACACTCTTTTTTTTTTTTTAATGTTATTGTTAACCACTCTTACTTTATGGATACATTTGGTTTAAGAATACCCATTTCTAAATTACTTCTGACAACTAACTATGTAAACCAAAATTTTAAAAAATGACCTCACTGTAACAGGGATTTATTAAAAAGGATTGATGTTGTCAATATAATAGTTATTAGTTTTGTCCTTAGTAGATATCAGGCTAAGTGCGAAAAGCTTATTGAATTATCTCACTTAATAGTTACTGAGTCTCACTTAAAGTTCTCTGAATTAGACTTATTAAAATCAATTTACAGGGAAAAATATTTTTAAAAACTAAAAGAAACCAAAATACAGAAGCTCAAGGCAATTTTCCCAAGGTCATTCAGCGATTATAGAACTGGGATTTGAAACTAGGTTGTTCTGATCTTTTAATTATCTTATTATTTGCTCAAGTAAATATTGACATGTGAACTTGGGGACAGTTTTCCAGCCAATATTCTTTAAGCTATCTGTTAGTTGTGAAATATGGGTAATGCTCCAGAACTTTCTGAAACATCCCCAAAGTGCAAAGTCAGTCTTTTCCTTACAACTCTGAATGTGTCCAAAATACAACTTAATGAAAATCTCATAATGTTTCTTCTTAATCATACCACTTCCTAATGCAATTACAAAAACCACCTACCTTGAAATTTATAGAAAACTAAAGAATTATGGTTGGTATAAAGCAGCTTACAAAAACTTGCTACCTGCCAGCCAGGTGACCATGCTGATTTTCTAAAACTTATCAAAAGAGAGTATCATAGATTTAAGTTTTAGATACACAGAACAATACCCTCTCAACCAAAACTTTATTTATAATCTTTAAAATGCTTTCACATACTATTACATTTAATCTTTCCAATAATCTTGTGAGTGTCTGTGCAGAATTTTTCCTATCCTAGAATGTCAATGATGGTATAGTCCAGGGGTCCTCAAACTTTTTAAACAGGGGGCCAGTTCCCTGTCCTTCAGACCATTGGAGGGCCAGACTGCAGGCCACAGAATGAGTTGGCTGCTAGGCAGGACAGGCAGCAGTGGCAAAAACACCTGGCAGGCCATATAAATGTCCTAGGTGGGCTGCATGTGGCCCGCAGGCTATAGTTTGAGGACGCTTGGAGACGCTAGAGAGAAAGAAAGACAAATCATCACTTTTACAGATACGGAGCGAGTCTGAGATCCTACAGGGTAATTCTTTTAAGTGGTGAGGTTGAGACTTGTCCTTGGAAGAGGTCAGGATTGTTTCTACAGCAGGTAGCCTAATCCACCTAGGTTGCTGTGACTTATTTTTTAAATATTTGAAATAGCTTAAAAGAAACCTTATGCATGTAGTGTTATACTTCTGTGCCTAGTACAGTGTATTACATACAGTAGCTTCACAGTATTAATTTGTTAAATGAACATTCAAGAATGTCATCCTTCGCATGTGAACTCATAATTATCTAAATAAAGTAAACAGGGTGAACTTGAGCACTGCGAGGGATAGATATCCAGAGACGGCATTAGCAGCAAGAGAAAGATGGTAAACATTCGAATCAGAAAACCTGTCTGCATATTTGTTTTGCTAATTCTTAGCTCTGTGACCTCTAGCAAGTTAAACAAAATGTAGCGTTACCTATATACATATATATATATATCTTATACATATATGTAAAATGTTTGTCTCTCTATAGATACTGGCACACACACACAAATATACACACAGGTAGACAGACACACATATGATGGCTTCAGGAATTTCTTCAGAAGAGTAGCTATTTTAGAATCATGAAAAATTACTAGGAAAGCAAAAGAGTTAATGCGGAAAATTATCATCCCCAAATCTATCAATTGCCAGGAAATCTTTGGCTTCCTCGTTTGTACATTTGGGAGACATAGAAGATTAAACAGAATTAAGGATTCAGAGGTTTCTTATGGGTCAGAGGCAGTGAGGATCTCTGATTTCTGTTTCAAGAGCTGAGTACAGTGAGGAGTGTTATTTCCTGTCTTACCCAGGACACCTTGTTCCAAGTGGCCTTTTAAAGGCTTTCTCTATGGTAGCAGAATAGTTCAGCCCTACAAGATAGTGGCCTCATTGCTGCCTTACTGCATACCACAAACTACATCGTGGTTAAATTAGGACTCACCCATCCCAAACAACAGTGGGATGGAGTAGAAGCCACCTTCTGTCATGGTACTGTTGATTTCTCTTTGTTCAAGTACACTGACCTCCAGAAATGAAATTTTCTATTGTGGACCTACATATCCATTTATCTTTTCTCTTTACAGGAGTAACAACTGTGCTTACCATGACCACTTTGAGCATCAGTGCCAGAAATTCCCTCCCTAAGGTGGCCTACGCCACCGCTATGGACTGGTTCATTGCCGTGTGCTACGCCTTCGTGTTCTCAGCTCTGATCGAGTTTGCCACCGTCAACTATTTCACCAAGAGAGGTTATGCATGGGATGGCAAAAGTGTGGTTCCAGAAAAGGTAAATGCTTTTGTAGCTTCCATGATACATAACTGTTCTGTCTCTTTAAACTTGTGAGAAGGAATATTTGGGCCTGAGAGACTGGATGAAGCATGCAGAGAGGAGAAATGAGGATTCTTTATTTTTTTTTTCTTATGTCACAAAGAGTTAAGTGCTATGATAATTTCATCATCGGTAAAGGGAGAGGTTGTTTGAGTGAATAGATGTGCAAAGAAGTGTGAGTGAAGGAAATAAATGACAAGAAGGCAACATTTCTGGTCAAATATTCTTTCCTGTTGTCTCTGTTGATTTGAGAACAGTGATTAACTGTTAACCAACCTGGCATTAGAAGCAAGCAAACTTCTTCAACCTCATTCTCTATTGAGTTCACTGTAATTTTTGTCACTTAAAAATCATAGTCTTTTGGTTGTTTCCTGAGCCTAATCACGTCGTTCATACATTTATAAGACTTCAACTGAACTGAGCTTGCAAATTGAACAGTCTTGAGTGAAATCAAGGGCAGGCACATTTTCTCCATCCAAAAAATTGGATGACAATTGCTTTAGGGGTTGTAACATGAAGAAATTATCAAGGAAAATGATCACGTGAACAGTAACTGCTGTTTCCCCTCTTAGAACCTATTGCAGAGTGGATTTTATGTCACCGCTGGGGAGGATAATTCTATTTATGGGTTTGAAAGAAAAGCATGTAAAAATGCTAGTGTGCCTTGGAATGGTGGGAAGAAGGACAAAGTCGGAGATGTGGGGACGTTAAGATATTTAGAAATAATCTCAGAGGACCCTCTCTGCAGCAGTTTTCCCCAAATTCTGTTCTACAGAATACTGGTGCTCTGAGATACTCCCTGACCATTCAGTGCCATCATCAAAATCCACTTGAATATTGATTGCTGCTGCATTCTATATAATGTAGTCTGAGTGTATCACAGTGTTTTTCAACCGTTTTTTATCTCATGGTACGCTTGAACCTATGATTAAACTTCCATGGAACAGTTAGATTATGTTGATAAAAAAAAAAAAAAAAGAACATACTTTACTTTGAACTTCTTTTGAAAATAATTTAATTAATGATCTTTAAAATTTTTCATGGCACACCTAACATCCTCTCACAGCACTCCAATGTGGCATGGCACCGGTTGAAAATCACTGGTCTAGACTATAAAATTGGGTGACTGTGCTTATCTCATAGTTACACAAGTGCACTAGTTCAGAGAATCCTCTGTGGTGGTGACTTCTACCATATTTAATAGACCTCAGGGTGCATCACACCTGATGGCAAAGGCTGTAAGAAAGCATCCACATTTATAAGACAGTCATCAATTGTGTTTCTTAGATTTCAATAAAGCCCAGACTCGTTTTGCAAAATAAGGGCTACTTTGTTGGGCAACTTAGAATTTGTACCTCTCAAAGTTGTTCTAAACAGAATGCTTTACTGTTTCCTTCTATAGCCAAAGAAAGTGAAGGATCCTCTCATTAAGAAAAACAACACTTATGCTCCTACAGCAACCAGCTACACCCCAAATTTGGCCAGGGGGGACCCTGGGCTCGCCACCATTGCTAAAAGTGCAACCATAGAACCCAAAGAGGTCAAACCGGAAACAAAACCACCGGAACCCAAGAAAACCTTTAACAGCGTCAGCAAAATCGACCGACTGTCAAGAATAGCCTTCCCCTTGCTATTTGGAATCTTTAACTTAGTCTACTGGGCGACGTATTTAAACAGAGAGCCTCAGCTAAAAGCCCCCACACCACACCAGTAGGTATTTGTAGTCACCTTTCATTGTTCAGTCCTCTGCACTGGGAATTGCTTTATGTTCTCAACGCAGTAATTCCCACCTGCTTTATTGCCTCTGTCTTAAAGAATTTGAAGGTTTCCTTATTTCCATACTTCATAGAAAAACAAGAGACCCCTGTCTGGCAGCCCAGAGCAGAGCGGAGTTTGTAGTTTGGAGATGGGATTCTGAGAGAGGAAGGGAGAGCAAAATCATGTCAGAAGGAGACAGAATGAGAGAGGAAAGGAGGGAGAAAGTAGTCCAAAAAATGGGGGAAAGTAAAAGAAAAATCAAATTTAACTATAAACCCACATCCATTTGTAGATATATATTTCCAAATAGTCTAAAAAGAGAGAGATACTGTATACGTCAAAAATATTTTTATGTGAAGGTGTTTAAAAGGATAAATTATAATGTTTGATGAAGAAAAATTTTTTAAAATCTATGTCTTTATTGCACAAACTATGGCGTGCTTATGTTTTTGTTTTGTTTTGTTTTTAAGCCGATGTATAGATAGCTTTAACATTTTGTTTCCAAAGCTAAACATTCCCATTTTTTTCCTCTTAAAAAATGCCTAATCCATTATTTCGTCATAAAATGCTATTTTAAAATTCATGGAAATTCCATAGGCCAAGGTACAGCTGCTGGCGGTAGAGCAGATTTAGTCCAATGGAGAGAAATGCTTTAATAGGCTACTACATTATCATCTGAGCTATTGCCACGAAACTCAAAGAAGAATCACTTTAACCGACACATACATTCAATAGAAACTAAACAAATAATTACAATAGAATAAAGTCATTTAAAAATCCCTTTATCTCCTTATTTCCCAATAGCACATGGGTCCAATAATCAATCATTTGATTCTCACTATAAAAATGTTTATAGAGGGGCAAAAATATTTTGCAAGCTCTGGAATTGTTGAATGTATTCTTTTCTATAACTACATTCAAAGCTGTAGATTGAAATTTATGACTAGCAAACAAAAATAGAATATATAAATTATATATGTAAATATACAGCATGAGATTGTACATTTTTTACTTTTTTAAAAGTTGTGTTCTTAAAATATTGTGTAGGAATCGCTGCTCTTAGCTGTTACGATGTTGTTAAATGCTATGGAAATGCATTTAGAGCCTGCATTTAAGAACAGAACAGCTGGTAGGAGTCAGATGGAACTTCAAACATATGGGTATCAAGTCCTCTTATGTAGAAAAAGCTTCTAATTTCAAACTGTTGTCTGGTGTACAGTAGTAGATCAGTTGCTATCTGTTCAAGTCATGCCACACCACATTCCCCTATTTTAGGCTCCTGTAATATAGAAAGAAAACGGAAAGTATTAGTTGGAGCTAGAACACCAACTGTATATTATTGCTATATTTGCTGATACCAACTATTTCAATAAGTGTTGTACCATATGTAGCATTAAATATAAAATACATGAAAGAATGTACAGAAAATAGCTTTTATTGAGTAATATTATTACATTTCATTTATACTGTAGCAATATATTTGTAGGTATACTATGTAAGGGCTTTAAATTACAGAGGTTCATTAATATACTCTATAAAAATTCTAGTCTGTTTCATTACTGCCCAGATGCTTTAGAGATAAATATTTATGAAGAAGGTATTTTTGAAGGCTCCTTTTGTCTGACAGTTTCGCAGATATTTAAATTCTGTGTTCCGAATCCACGGGTCCTGGTCTAAACACATTTAGAATACTACAACATAAACCTCTTAGCATAATTACTGAATAAGACAGTTGGGATCCATACCCAAGTTTTGAACAATGTTTTTCTCAAAAAGCTGCTATCCAATGATGTAGGAAAATACACCGTGTTTTCCTAAACAAACTCTGGTTTTTCTTTCTCAATGTGCTTCATTGTTTGAGTTTGTCCTGCTTAAATTTCATGAGCTAGGCCAACAAAGGCTGAACCAAGGACATTTCATTCTCTGCTATCATGTATAGATATTATGTATAGAAAATAAAATAAATTATGGCTCTAACTTATGTGTTGCTGTTTATCTTGTTATTTTTCGGCGTTAACCTACTGTGTTTATTGAGAGCTTTTTACCTTCCAAGCTCCTCATGGCTAACTTTTGGTCTGTATTTTGTTCATTAGATGTGAATATTTCCTATTAGTCTGCTTTCTGCTATGCAATGACTGCATTTCTATTCTTTCTTAGTTTGTTAGTATATGTGGATGGTATTCTACTGTATAAATTGATTGCACAGTTTATCAAAGACAAAGTATTCTATGTAGCTTTTCTACCGTGCTTTGCTAAACCATGTAATACTAGTTAAGTCTTCCTTGAAAATAAAGATACACTCTTTTAGGGGACAGTTCCTGTTTAATCCCAGGAAAAAAATTTTTTTAAAAGATGACACTGAATGTTTATTGCACCTTAGTGCAGTGAAGTGGCAATAAAACTTAACATGAATCGAGGTTGTTTATGGCAGATGCATGTATTGCTTTACAGAGTTTAGCAAAAGCTCTTAATTTTATGTCATATTGTATTCTATTATAACAATAAAGCTAATGTTATTCAATAACAAAGTGTAATCCTTGACTCTCTTTTCTGCATTATTCAAAGGAACGTCCATCGCCCTGTTGTTAACACAATTTTAGGTTAGGAACACCTAAAAGTACCAAGTGCTATTGGAAATGTAGGCCAGTCGAAAAGTTTTTGAAGATGTCTCAATAGTATTATCCTAAACTATGATTTTAAAAGAATCACTCAAAATGCAGAAATTTACTAAATCTCTGGTATCCGGTATTACTGGTAGCACTTCAAAATGTATAAAACATAAACAGAATAAAAGGCTAAGACGATAATGAAGTTTGTCCATAATTATTTTTAATAGTAGAAGCAATTTGTTTTCTGATATACCCCTGGACTCTGGTTTCATTGCTTTGGTGGTGGGTCTGAACACTAATTTTAAAAATTCTCCAGGTGACTCTTAGTATGTAACCGTACTACGTTGTTAATATTTTTAATTCCTTATTAAATTCCTTAATGGTTCTATGACCAAATAGATCAAAGTAAATAATGTTCATAATCATTTCAAAGACAATAGAAAAAATTTTAAATAATGGGCTTAAAACTATCTTTCTATATCAGAGAGTGGCTGTATCAAAATAAAGTGAATTTTAACACATAAAATACATATTCTCCTTAAAAAAGCAATTCACAACTTAAAAATTATTACAATTCTAACATTCTTCAACACAATGACCTGGCATATAAATCTACCCATGTGAACAAGTTGAACCACCACATCCATTGATTTCTAGGCTCTCGTAATAAAGAATGTAGAGAATGATGATTATTTTGGCAATCAAAACAAATCCATGTCAACGTTTACCGCATCATTTTCAAAGGAATTGAAATAAGAATGGGCTTGGCATTATTGCTGACCATCTGTTTGAAATTCATTGTACCAGTTAGTTATAACCTTCTGTTGGCGTTTTCTAAAATCTATCCAGCTCTTTTGACTAAGAACAAATATCTGACTTAATTATATTATACTCACAATGCAGTTGAATAAGTTAACTTCAAATGTTGATTTAATTTGACGGAACAAAATTCTATTAACATTTACTGAGTCCCTTCCCTGGGCTAAGTACTTGTTCATCGATGGAGATGTAGAAATAAATAAGACTATTTTCCCTCAGGACATTATAGTTTTGGTAGGGGAGGAAGACAGAAAAAATCAAAGACCATAAAACAAAAATTATTAATATGACAAAAGTAAAAGACGTTAACAAGCACAATAAAGAAGGACCTAGACGCTCTTCATAGGTTAGCAGCTTCGATCCTGAGAAACTAAGGAGGCTCAAAGTGATGCTTAATGAAACATGAGGAACTGAGACCATCCTGGACCATGGTCAATGCACCTAGGACTTAATACCAGCTCTGGGAGTTGTCAGTGATTTAACCACAGACTAAACATTTGTGACCTCTAAGAATCCAGCTACTGCACTAGATACCAAGATTGCATTCATGAGTGTCCAACTTCTGTTCTTATTTGCCACACATTGGAATAATAAGAATTGTCTTGGGCCACCCATTAAATAAATACACAAACGCTACCAAAGCCGATGAGTTAAAAAAAAAAAAAAAAGTCTGTGCATACCTTTCATTATCTCTGACGCCACAGCTAAGCAAAACAGTCCTCAAATGATATGCGTGTGGCCTGCAAGCCGCAGGTTAGACACCTCTGAATGATAATACACTCTTGAAAATTTCATGATTTCATGGAGATTCAGAATGAACCTAAAATTACACTATTACTTATACTAAGTTTACCGATAAATGTACTGGTATAGGGCATTCATAGTGATCTGAGAGAAGTCTTTATTCAATCGTTAGAAAAAACAGAATATAAGAGGGAAGTCTTTAAATGAGACTGTTAGCCAGGCTAGTTGGGAGGATACAGAGACATTTAACAGGCACTTTGGTGCCGGAATGCCTGCTGGTGATCAGGAACAAATCTTCTACTCAAAGGTAAGAATACAGTAATCACTGAAGTGCCCATCAAAGGATCAATGAAGAAAGAAAACATGATATATATATAGATATACATATATATGTATATCTATACATATATCTTTATTCGTATATATATGTAAGAATAGAATGCTATTTTACCATAAAACAAGAAAAAAATTTTGTCCTTTGTGAAAACATGGATGATCCTGGGGGACATTAAGAGAACTAAGCCAGGACCAGAAAGACAAATACCACCTGATCTCACTTATATGTGGAATCTAAACAACCTTGAACTCACAGAAGTAGGGAGCAGAATGTTTGTTACCAGGAACTCTGGGTGGGTGTGGGGACTAGTTAGGAACATGATGGCCAAATGTTGCAGTTTGGCAGGGGCCAGGTTCGAACCTGCCACCCTTAGTATATGGGGCTGGCGCCCTACTCACTGAGCCACAGGTGCTGCCCACATTATGGCCAAATGGATACAGCCTTTGAGTCAGATGAGAGGAATAAGTTCAAGAGAGCCATTGTACAACTTGAAGATCATGGTCAATAACAATGCATTGTATTCTTGAAAATTGCTAAGAGTGAAGATTTTAAATGTTCTCACCACAAAAATGGTGTGTGAGGTAATATACATGTTAATTACCTCACTTTAGCCATTACATAACATATACATATGTCAAAATAACAGTATACATAATTTTTATCTGTCAATAAGTAGAATTTTGAAAAAGAATATAACTTAAACATATTAAAAATAAAACAAATCAAAACTAACAAAAAATCAAAGAAATTGTAATGGTTCAATAGCAAATGTCTATTTTAGGTAAAGATTGGTTCAATTGAAAATGTCTATTTTAGGTAAAGAGCTAAAACTATAAAATGTCAGGAAGAAAATATTAGGGAAGTTTTTCATGATTTGAGGTGGAGATTTTCTACCAAAATCAAAATAGATTTTTGATTGAAAGAATGGTCACGACAAATTAGATTTCAGAAAAATTAAAACATAATTGTGCTTCCAAAGATATTAGAAAAATTTTAAAAAGACAGTTTGGGAGAAAATATTTATAAAACGTATGAACATGTACCCAGAATATATAAAAATCTTGCACAAGGTAACAAAATTAAATATTGAAATATATATAACCAAACAGCTGATGAGCATATGAAATGTTCAGTATCATTAGTTATCAGGAAAGTACAAATTAAAGCCACTCTGATATAACACGCTACACCCATAGGATGGCTATAATCAGACCTTTAAAAGTCTGAAAGCAGATAGAGAAATTAGAACCATTAACTTTGCTGGTGATAAAGTAAAATCGTACACCAATCTTGGAAAATGGTTTAGCAGTTGCTTAGAAAGTGAAACATCAACTTGCCATATATCTCAATTGTTCTACTACCAAAGAAAATTGGAAACAGATACCCTCCTAGAGAGACATATATGAATATTCAACGAATGAACCTCAAAAATGTTGTAAGAAACTAGACACAAAAGACGGCAGAGTCAAGGTACACAAAATGTCCTGAAATGCAGAGACAGTACAAAGAACGGGGCACCTGATCCTGAAGGTGAGAGTGGGGATTGGTTGGAGTTGATCACGAGGGATCTTTCTGGCAAATGGAAATGTGTTAAAATTGCATTGTGAATTGCTGCACAATTTCACTCATTTACTAACATTTATAGAATTGTACATTTTTAAAATGTGTCCTTTATGTTTTCTAAGTTATTGTGCAATGAAGCTATACAATATAATGACTGTTACTGTGGAGGACTGTTTTGAGGTATCACTGATCTGAAAGGGATGTGAGAGAATCAGGCCTACTCTCTGTCCTCCAGTTTCTCTTGTATAATTCGATTATCTATTAAGATAGGGTCCTGTTTTCATATGGTAACAAACAGTTGGAATTAAGTTCAAGGAGAGAAAAAGTTAACAATGGGCCAGCTACACAACAAAATAAAGTAGGGGAGAGATTTCTTTATATTTCAATTTCAACATATTAAGGGGGTACAAATGTTTTGGATACATGGATACCTTGTGGGATGCTTAAGTCGGGGCTTTTAGTGTGCCCATCACCAGAACAGTGACAAGTGACTTTTCAGGTCTCACACCTCTCCCCCCCTCCCTCCTTCTTGGATTTCTATGTCCTTTTATCTCTTTGTGCCCCAGTGTGCCCAATGTTTCGCTTCCAATTATTAGTGAGTCCCTGTGATTTCTTTTCTGTAAATTGAAAGCAGATTTGAGAAAAAGTAAATTTAAGATGTTATAGATCAATAGAGCTAAATAATCTAGTCTAAGTGTATAAGCCAGGTGACTTGTTCAAACCATTTGTAGAGGCTCGGCGCCTGTGGCTCAAGCGGCTAAGGTGCCAGACACATACACCTAAGGTGGTGGGTTTGAATCCAGCCCTGGTCTGACAAACAACAATGACGGCTGCAACCAAAAAATAGCCAGGCATTTTGGTGGGCGCATGTGGTCCCAGCTACTTGGGAGGCTGAGGCAGGAGACTCGCTTGAGCCCAGGAGTTGGAGGTTGCTGTGAGCTGTGATGCCATGGCACTCTACCCAGGGGGATAGCTTGAGGTTCTGTCTCAAAAAAAAAAAAAAAAACATTTGTAGAAAGATTCAACCCTTCTTACACACAACGTGCATACTACCACACGTGCACGATGATAGTCTCTGTTGGGAATAAGAGAATACAGCACCCACATATCCTGGAACAGTGTAAACCACTGGTTCTCTAATGTGAGCCATGAACAATGGTTTCCCAGATTGCTGAACTCTTTACAGAGTTTCAGTGGGTCTAAGATGATACCTGTGAATTTGCATTTCTAACAGATCCTAGATAACGCTGATGCTGCTGGTCCACAAAACCTAACACTAGATTGTATAAAAAAAAAAATCAGCACATTGTACCCCACATATGCATAAATGTATTCATGATCTATGTGTATTTGACTTAATAAAAAAAAGATAACACTGAGAAATTTAAATGTGCTAGCAACATTACGCACTGCTTACGTTTATGAATTAATTGGTTTTACTTTAAAATTTAA